TGGCTATCTGGTGGTCTTATTTAAATATTTATAGAATGATCCTATCACTCATGTACTCAATTCTAAATCTGTGTGTAAAAGTATAAATCTTTATTAAAGTAGCAATTAGCCTATATATATATTAAATCATAGGATAATATTTGAACAATGGGATGATTAAGGAAAAAATAATGCAAATATTTGGTTTTGATTAAGTATCTATCTTGCTGCCTGCATTATAATTTTTTTATTATTCCAAAGAAAATATCTTTAAGCCTTTTTTGGACCAAAATAATTTCAGTGGTTTAAAGCTCTGCATTTATATTATGATATAGATAGGAGGCTGATTGCATTTGGTCTTTCTCCATTATCAATTTGAAATTATTTTGTAGGCAATTCATCTCCCTCTATTTTGAAATTCTACTTTTTTCTTTTACGTGGCTTAAAAATCTGCATCTGAGAATTGATGAAATAAACTCATAGTTTAGATCTCAGTCTTGTACCTCCTCCCTTTCCTGAGGTGTTCCCAATAAAGGACCCTTAGAAAATTTGTAAAATGTCATAACACCTGCCAATATTTAGAAGCAAAGCATTTACGTTTCATATTACCTCTAAATTCTGCTGTTTTTCTCAATATGGGCTATAAAATTTCCAATTGCAAAATGACTTATTTCCAAAGGCATGCCCATTTTTCAGGCATTTTAAAAACACATTTAAATGGAAACAAATGTGGATCACAAGCAGTCACATAGAGTGGCTTTTGCACATCAGTTTTAGAAAGTCCTAAAATAGGAGATGCTTTCATAGTGAGACACAGCAGTCTCTGGTTTTATTTTGAATAACACTCCAAGTGTTTTTACTTTAGGGTCACATTTAATTGCACTTTAAGACATTAGTGCACATTTTCAGCTGCATAGCAGCAGTGGTGTCTTTTATTTAAATCCAGAAAATAATGTGATAAACACATTTACATACTTCATTATATTTGACAACCCTAAGTGGTCCCAGATTCTGACTTGCAGCATGAAAACTCACTGAGACCTCATCGTTCCACCTTGTAATTAAGTACAGTGACTTACAGTCTCCCATTTAGTTGTCACAGTAATTCTATTCCTGTCTTATAATTATGGGCACCTCCTCCTACTTGGTTCCTGTGTCTTTTCTGAGCCTTTATTCATCAGGCTTTCTCTTCATTACACATGAAATCCTCACAATATAATTTCATGTTTTGCTTGTTTTATCCATTATTGGTTTCTATTATTTGCAAACAAAAATCCCAATTAACACCTAATTTCACTTTAAAGCACTGTGTAAAATTGAGACACAGTCATTTTGGAATTTTTACGTTTCTATTTGGCAAGATTATAGAGATAGACTAGGTATATATCTCTTTCTATTGTGTAGCCCAGAATGTTTGTTGGGTTTGAGTTACCATGTAAAATACATTAGAATGTTTTAAATTCACAGGCAAAAATCAAAACTCAATTAAGCAAATGTATTATTTATTAGGAAAGGTTTCTGTTACTATCAGATTTGCCTTTGAGTTTTGTCAGATCCATGGTGGGAAATAATAAATGACATTTTTAGGCAGGGCTGAGGCATATACAAACTGGGTTCCCAGGAAGGTGGTAGGGGCATTTGTTTTAACCTATCCCAAATTCGTACAGCGTCCAGTTGGGAGGAATTACCCGCATAGGTAGTAAGCAAGATCTTTCTCCCACTTAGAAAAGGTAAAATGCATGGAGTATGTTCTCTGCCCACATCCTGATAAGCTATGGCATTGGTATTAGATATAAGCTCAGTTACTAAGATGCCCTTTGCTACTCTGAATCTTAAAGAAGTGACAGAATTATGTGTCTATAGGGTGGACAGAAAGATTTAAGTATAGCATCAAGAAAGTAGAAGGGCTGGTGCTAGAAAAATGTAAGTGAAAAACCCAGTATGCTAGCTTCAGGCAAGGCTGTGGGAAGGGGAGGAGAGGGGCCGACATCACCGGGATTCAGTATTTATATGGACTCAGGTGTTCTTTTTCTATGTTAGGTCTGTTCTCAGGTAAGTTCTGATTTAGTTATGACCCTCAGCACCTGTTCCTCCCTAATTCTCTCAAAAATAAAATATTTTTGTTTGTCTCATCAGTGATATTTTTGTTATTTTATCAAATCTTGACCAAGAGTCTGATTGGCTGGGCTTCATTCAGTCTTATTCTTTTACCTTGAAGCAGTGGATAGAGTTAGTGTCACACAAGCCATATGGAATTAGCATGAAAAATATTTCTCATAAGAAAAATCGGGGTACGGTTATTAGAAAGAAAGGATGGTGGAAGCGTGACAGACAGAAAGAACAGACATTTAAACATTTGACCACTCTTTTAATCTACCTTTATTTCTATCCTCTCAAGTGAGGCATAATCATAATTGGATCCTGGCATTTTGGGTATAATTACCTGTGCAAGTTGTTAGTTTAGATCTTCTAAAAATATCATTAAGCTTGATATGGATGAGATTCTTCATTTAGAAGATAGATGAAATGACACAAGTCTGATTACAAAACTGTAAAAAACTGTTTTTAATAACTAAATGCTCTCAAGCCATTATTTTTTTCTGGAATTAAAGAAGTAGTCACTAATCATGAGTGGAAAGGTTAACTCAGTGCCTGTGTGGGAACCAGTATTCCCTCATCAGTGCCGTGTGCCATCCATGTTTCTGAAGGACATGCCGTCTAAGAATAATCTCAGTGTGGGCCTTGACAAGGCTCCCTCGTGTCCCACAATTGGCCCCATTGTGGGTGATTATAATTAATTATCCCCAGTTCTGGATATGTTTCAAAATAGTGAAATACTATCATTTTTAAGCTCTAGAAATGACAGTTAGCTTAATGGAAACATATTGCTTTACGCAGTTGCCCAGAATTGCCAACTGCCAGAGCAGACTATGGACACACGGTATAATCACTGCTTATTTTTGGATGGTGTCCATGTTAAAGAGTGGCAGCCTTCCCAGTGCCAATCCAAGTGTATTGTAAACATTTCCAGCGAAATCATGTTTTATTCAGTGCTTTATCTCTCACCTTAGAATTGAACAGAATGAACAAAAGGCAAGAAAAAAAGAAAAGTGTTAAGTGAAAACACAAATTTTAAGTAATATAGACTCCATTTACCAGTTTTTAAATATATTAACTTTATTATCATTTCTAATCAAGATAATCAGGTGTGGATGCTTTGTGTTGGTTCCTACCTCTTCATCTCAGATGTGCTTCATTCGATTTTTACTGATCTCTGTGTTGATTTTTATTTAAATTTTCTTTTGCAGATATTTAAAATTTTTATTTTGCAATAATTTTTACATAGAAAAGGACATGGCAGATTATTACAGGATGTTCTCATGCACCTTTACCCAAAACCTTGAATGTAACATCAGAGATTGTTACAATTATTGAACCAACAAATTAACATTAATACAATACTATTAAATAAACAGTAGACCTTATTTCAATTTCATCAATCTTTCCATTAAAACAATTAAGCCATAAAAATATGAAAAATATAAGTGAATATCAAGTCTCTAGAGATATATTTCTATATACAAAATAATAGGAGAAATAAAAAAGGGAAAATGGACCATTTTATTAAAAATAATTAAGATTGCATATGTCAAAACAGTATAGACATGAACAGAAAGAAAACTAGGGAAATTTTTAACCTACAATCTGAGCAACACTGCAGAGTTAGAACATCACTATGTATCCCATTACTATACTTTACAAGGTTTTAAATACAGAAATCATGTATATTACTGAAGTCCCTTTAAAACCCTAATCGCTTGCTTGTGTGATGCATGTAAATATTTGGGAAAAGGCATTACTTGAGTGAATCAATATAACTCCTCCTATGTGTAAAACATTTTGTGGTATTGAAATTCTTAATAAGTGTTTTAGAATTTCAACTCATAGTTAAAGAGGAAAAAATAGACAAAGAATTCTTCTAAAATGAGGCAGGTGTGCCTCTCCTTTGCATCACAGAAAATAGGAAGTGCTCAGAATGAGGTGAGAATTGCAAGTGAAGAACCCTTAAATTCGATGTATACTTTTATTCAATTATTCATTCACTCTGCATAAATTTTGTTTAGTTTGCTCTTGGTGCTCATCAAATTGACTCTTGTAGAGTCATTATGTAGGAGATGCACCTTTCCATTAAGCTGTTGCTTCTGCGGAGACATTACAAAATCAAAGTCCTGTGAGTTTAACGAGGTTCCCTGCTCTCCTTTAGCCGCCTCTCTAAAAGGACTCTGGGTACTCAGTTACTGGGGCAAAGACTAAAGGCCTGAGTGTAATGACACATATAATTGAATAACTCTTAGGGTTTAGACTCAGATGCCTAAGAGCATGCAGCTTTCATGTCAGAAGTCACAAACAATTACCTAAGAATCTAGGGGAATTATGAGTTCAAAGATTAACTGATCTGTCTGTATTTGTACACAGCAGAGAGAGCAAACTTATGAGGCCTTGCTCTCAAAGGGCTTCTGAGCAGCAAGATGCCCTTTGAGAGCAATGCACAGGTGTCAGGAATACAAGAGGACCCTAAAACCCCCTAAGGGAGTGCAGAGGGTCTGTGGCTGTACTACAGTAGGGTCTACGATGACCAGCATCCAGGTGATGGCAGAAATAAATGCCTGCTGTGTAGAGGGGTGCTTTCAGAAATCAGCATTAATTGGAGATTTGAAACTAAAATTATAAAGTGATTTTATAAAATAACATATAAAAATATAAAACAGAAGTTAAATATAAGGCCAAATAAAGTTTCATCATTTTTAATGATTAATGCTAAGACATCAAAATTTTAATTGAACAGAAGTAAGTCTTTTACGTTACAGATTCTACTCAGTTTGTCTAAATCTATTATATCTCATATCATAAAGGACTTGTTCGTGAACAAAGCATAGGGAAATGCAATGCTGCTGACATATTTAAAGGAACTCTGAATATTTTATCACTTCTTAGCAATAAAAGTATGTTTCTCTCCTCAGAATAAAAGCTTGAAAAACAAACTCCTGTCAGGAAATAAGCTGTGTGGCATCCGTGCAGAAGAGGTGAGTAAATTTTGTCTTCTGGCTTCCACTGGATAGAAACAATATTAGTGCTAGATTTTTTTTAAAACCTAGACATCTCATGATCTTTTCCTCCTTCTAACATAAATGCAAATATTGGAGTAAGTAAAGAAAATGTTTAGATATATTTTGATGTTTTATATTGCATATTTTTAAGAAATGATCGTTGCCTTTCTTAAGGGAAAAAATTTATTCTGCTTAATCCAGATTTAACTAAAATCAATTTCCTGTACTCCTAATCTCCTAAATCTGCTTATACTTTATGATCCCTGATTTAATGTTGTAGAATATGTGGCTCGTAGTAAGTAATTCTTAGTGATATTAATGAGATAGTAGGGATAGTGTCAATAGAAATTGATTCTTTGTACCTCAAGGAGAGGAGACAGGAGTCCCTCGGTTACTTGGTTCCTCCAAGAAGCACACACAAAGATGGGATTAGTTGGGTAAGGGTTTATTAATGGAAATATCTGCAAGTAATAAGGAACAGGTCCGAGAGTCTTCATACAGTGATGCAGACCCTATGCCTGTGAAAGAAGGGGGAAGGGAAAGCAGTTTGAGTAGAACAAAAACAGTGGCTTACACAAGTTAAAAGTTGACCCCTTTGCCCATTAGTCTAGACATAAGGCTCAGAGCCGGTGAAACACTGCCATCATTTCCTAAATATCGCAGCCAACTTTTGCTCCCCAAACCTCTTCCTGTTACTTTCACCTTCTAGCAGGAGAGACAGGAAAGATGACCTGGTGACTCACAGGCACTGCTTTTTAGGAGTCCAATTGGGAAGTAGTGGCACAAATCTCACCATAACCTCTTTGCCAGAACTAGGTCACGTGCCTAGCCAAGTTGAAGGGAAAACGGAAAGTGACATTAGGTTGGCAGTCATGTGCCCATCCAGAATTTGGGATTTTTTTAATTAAAGAAGGTGAGCACACCCCTTGATGGACATGCAAAAGTCATTATTATAAACACTAAAGTTAAAGTCTAACACGCAATTTAATAATCCATTTCATAATTAGTCTTTACAATAATATTGTATATAAAATGAATATAAATTTTTAATACATAGAAATTACAGGTTGATACCCAATAAGATAAAAAATCAAACTGGTTTCTTTCACATAGTATAATGCATTTGAAATGCAACTACATTGTTACATGTTTCAGTACTTAATTCTTGAAAGTTTCTCAACAGTGTTCTAGAATTCCATTTCATGGAGGTACCACAATTTGTTTACTATTCACCAGTTAATTACATGTAGTATTTTCCTGCATTTGACTATTATGAATAAAGATGCTGTAAACATTTATGTATACATTATATTTTCTCTTGGGTAAATACCTACAAAGAATTTCTCTGTAACACAGTACATATATGTTTAACTTTATAAGAAGCTGCCAAGTTGTTTCCCAAAGTGATTGTGCTATTTTATATTCCCACTCAACTATTTTTTCTATTATTGTTTTGTTTTTGTTCTATGTCTTCTACTGAAGAATCAGAAGCAATCATCTTAGATGTAGAGAGACAAATGACTGAGGTTCCTCAGTTAGGATACTTGAAATTGGGTCTGCTCTGGAAAAATGGGAAGCATGATCATCATCTGTGGCCTTTTACCAGAACATCTTTCACTGTGGCAGCCAAACATGTCTTCTGAGAGAGATTCCTGTGATAAGCACTTTCACGTTTGTAATGGTCCTCTGAAAAAGCTCATTCTTCTAAAGGGCAAACACCCTTCGCCTCAGCATCTTGGCACTCTAAGTGCTTTTCTCACCGCCTGTCACATTTGCTTGCTGTCTTCTCTTTGGACATATGCCAAATTCAAATTTGGTTGTCAATTTAAGCTTATCCATATTTAATCTTACCTTAATAAATAATTGAAATAAGCAATGGAAACTGAGGCATAGATTGCAGAGATACATTTAGCATCTAAAATTAGAGTGTTGGCCCTGCCTGGGTGACTGAAATTCTTTGGGTGGGGAGGAACAGTAAGCCACTTTCTTTAACTCTTACCTTTTAAGCAATATGTTTCCTTTGAGCAGGCTTTGGCTTTTCTCTTCCTGCCTAGAATAACCGGACGTCCAACTCCCAAAGTGGAGAATATGCTTTTCTATTTCATTTCCAAAGTCATCGGACTCTTTTGCTTGGCTGCAAAATTCATTTTGTAAAGTTTGAAAAACTTTTAATCAAGTTTGAAAAAATAAATGAAGTTAAGGCACTAATACGTCTTTCTGCTCTTGCAGTCAAAAAAAATCCAAGCCCAGCTGAAGGAGCTTCGTTATGGGAAGAAGGATTTGTTATCTAAGGTGAGCGTCTCTCTCCCTTCCCCCTCCAACTTACTAGCCCAGTGTGTAAATTATTTAAAATATGATTCAGCCTAATTTCCAGATTTGCATAATAATTAAAGTTGTATCTGACTGTGTTTAAGATGCTTTCATTTTCTTAATTAATGGAGATAAATGCAGATATGGCTTCCTGGGTACATTCATAATTAAAGGCAGGCATCAGTACAAAGTATGTAAAGTCCCTTTGTAGCTTTCAGTTACTTTAATTCAGCATTGAGGAATATTGTCTTCTGCAATATTTACATTAAGGAGAGCATATATTGAGTAAGTTTCCAGAGAGGAGGTCCAATGGTGACCTACGTTCTTAGCTTCCAGAGATCCTGCATAAATATCATTATTATCAAGTCTTCATATTTTATCATCGTTGATTGATTTTGGTTATTACTACTTCTCTTTACAAGACTATCAAGTCAAAACCTCTGCATAGTTAGACATCCACCGCAAACTGTAGATGTGATAGGCTGAATAATGCCCCTCCCCAAAGACATCCACTTGGTAATTTCTTGAACCTGATAACTTTATCGTTTATGGCAAAGGAGACTCTGCAAATGGGATTAAGTTAAGAATTTTGAGATGGGAAGATTATCCCAAATTATCCATGTGGGTCTTAAATACCATCACACAAGTTTTTATAAGAGTGAGACAAAATGGCCTATATAAGAAGAAAGTTATGTGACCACAGAAACTGGGGAAGAAAAGACAATGGGAAGGCGTTTCCCCCTTTGGCCTCCAGAAAGAACCAGCCCTGCCAACACCTTGATTTTATCCCATAAAACTCACACTAGACTTCTGACTTCCAGAACTCTAAGTGAATAGATTTGTGTTGTTTTAAGCCACGTAGTTTATGGTAGTTTGTTATAGCAGCAAGAAGAAACTACTACAGATCATTTATTGTTGTCTCCCTTGAACATGGGAAATAAGAGGCAGGTGCTTTTAGTTGTGCTTATGGTGCATTTTAATTGTCAAACGCAGTAGAAAATAGGGTATTCAGCTATTAGTAGTAGGAATAATAATTTATTTTAATAAATAATAAGCGCAAATGACTTTGTGTGTAATACTGCTTTTAAAAAAATGTTTTACAATGGAGATCAGCCCAATCTACAAATGTCAGGTTCCTCACTTTCTTTAACTGTTGGAAAATCCTGTAAGTTTTTTCAGTGAAAACAGTAAGAAATGACATATCTCTACTCTTTGGCACTTTCACTTTTAGCTTAGAGTCATGGGAAGGTGTCCCTTTTATGTCAACCGATATTTATTAAATACTCATTGTATGTGAGGCACATCTTGCCACATGCTCTTCCATAAATATGCTCCTTGCCATTGCTTTGACCTCATTTGTGACAGGACATTCCCCAGAACACCACGGAAACCAGTAGTTAATTCTCACCCACCCCTACTTCTCAGTACGCTGCTCACTGTATGGAATGAATACATAAGACTAAAGTATGAAACACAAGGCATTGCTGGTCTCCCATTCATCTTTCATACCGAGACTCTTGAGCTCAGGATATCTTAATCTTACCTTCAGCTTGGCCTTGGCTTTTTGCAGTCATCAACAATAAATAATTGAAATAGGAAAAAACAACAAAAAACAACCCACGTGCGTTTTTTCATTTGCAAAGAAATTTCTAGCTCTCTGTGGATTCATTTAACTTAAAATCAGGAATGTAAAAAAACAAACTCAAGCTTCCTAGAGCTGATACATTTTAGGTATTAGACTGACAGATTTATGGAAAGATATGTGGCTTTTTAAGCCTTTTGGATTTTATTTCTCAAATAGAAGAGTTATAGACAGAAAAGTTGAGAAGACAATGAGGAGATTCTGATCATTTTCAGTGATTTGCTTCTTTGCAATATGCCAGTTGTTGAATATACATCAGTGATTTATCAACTTTCAGAAATTTCCAAGATGCGGATTTACTGGAAATCTTTGTGATGTGAAAAGGAGACGTTATGTCTGAGCCTCGTTGTTCCGGCTCACTTTAGGAAGAGTGCTTGCGCATGAGATCAGGTGAATAACAGACTAGGACGCTGCGTAATCAGAGTGCCCTCAGTTTATCCTCTCCCCAAAAAGCTGCTTAACGGGAAGACTTTTAATAAGTACAGTAACAAGAGGTCTTGAAGCATGAGAATTTTAGAACTTGTTCGGGAGCTAAGCAATGTCCACGAGGACCCAGAGTTTCTCACCTATCTTATTTTCCATGCCATGATCCCCAACGGGCTAGCTTGTTCTAAGTTTGATTCCTCAGTGGCTAAAGATCTATACTCTGCCCTCACCCAACTGTGTACAAAGTCAGAGACAAGGGGGGACACTTATCCTTCAGGGTCATAATTTTTATAAAGGAGAAAATCTTTTTAAGAAGTCTTCCCAAACTTTGTCAGGTATCCATGCAGAAGTGAGACCTTAGTGTTTTCAGCTTGTTTTGTGAAAGATTGCTTCTTTCTTGATATAAAGTAAAAAGGAAGGGGGTTACTGAAGGGGAGACAACCAACAGTTTCTGCTACAATGGGCTCATCCACTCATCTTGATAGCAGTCAGCTCATCTGATTTGCTTACTACTATATCCACAGTGTACATTTAGGTCTTGCATAAACATAGTTTAAGTGAATGAATACATAATACATATGTACATATGTATACATCCATGTACACATATATACATACATACATTGATGTATCAGGGCAGTAGATAGTAGAAACTGATATGTGTAGCCCTAAAGAATATGTGACCACAGAAATTCACACATGGACGTTTAAAAATGAACCCACAAAATGTATTTGGTAATATTTTGCTGAACCCTGAGGTGAGTAGTAGAAGATTCCATTTCCAATAGTTTCCCTGAGAATCTGTTGAATTCTAAATAGATTTGATGAGTCTTAGTAAAGACAGACTTTAAAGAGCAGTGCTTGTTGCTGAAGCACTTAAATGTTATCGTAAAAATAATGGCATGTGCTGACAATTGCAGGACATGTCGATAAATGGAGCCCTTACTAATGTGTGGGGGCTGGCCTTTGATTTGGGAAGGCTGCCAGTAGCAATAAACATTGTCTACTATGAAAGCAGAGAGGCCCTGCTGATTGGGAGCGTCCAGGGACTGGGGCTACTTTTTACCCTCTTTGATTGCACTTGGAGCTGATATCCTCTGGAGTACCCACTCTTTGTTTTGTGCTCTATTTACTTTTACATATACACTTGCTTTTTATTCCAAAAGTATTATTTTTTCATTGTAGGCAAATTTCAAAAATGTCAAAAAGTGTACATCTAAGAGAAAACATTTAAAATCCCTTCATTAAGAAAAAACCCAACATTTTGAAATATTTCTGTTAGTTGCTTTTGTACTAGGTATAATCTGTTTTGTGATTAACATATATATGTTACTATATATTATATATTCTACCGTTTCACCTAATTTTAAAACATAAAGATACCCTTTANTCCTTTAATTATAATTATTAATAAAAATTTAAGTGAATAATTTTCCATCATGTCTATATGCCAAAGTGACTTAACTTTTCCTGTATAAATTTGTGTGAATTCATATGTATATGTGTGCATTATGATTTTAGTTTACACTAAAAAAGGTAACCCTGACATTTGTAACAACACGGTTGGACCCACAGGTCATTAGAATATGTGGAGTTTTTAGTCTAGTGATAAAATAATACCTTATGTATATTAATTATTATACATATTGTTAACATGCTATGTATAGATTTGCACTTTATACTGACTCTAGTACATTATTACATTTGCTCCTCACTACAATCTCTGAGACAGAGAGGAGAAGTTGTAGGATTCACTTCACAGTGAGGGAATGGAGGCCTTGAAAAATATGACACTTAGTCGAGACCAACAAAATACTTAATTGCAAAGCAAATTTATTAACAGAAACCATCACTATTCTATTCTATTTATTTGCTTACTTTAAATTGAACTGACTTGTTGGAGTATCATGGATCACGTCTATTTGACAGAGATTTATAGTTACTCCTTTGATAACTATTTCTATAACATTTATTTATGTCATTGTATCAAAATTCTGGCATATTTGGTGATAGGCCAGATGCATCCATTGCTTCTGAAACTCAGATATCAAAATGGCATGTGTTTTCACTGGTATTTTCTCTAGAAAACGGATGTGCTCAATTTGGTATCTCCACCATTATCTGCTCCTGAAAATAGAAACATTGCCACCTAAATTTCCATGCATGGGTACCAACTAATGTCAGATTATTTTCTGATGACTTGAATTTTGTGAAGCAGTTGCTCCTTAATTTTTAAACCCTTGTGTAATTTAACATAATTTTTATACATCTGTCTCTCATCAACTTACATTTATCTCATCCGTGTGTTAAACCATTTTTTAATAAACAAAGCACTTTCAATGCTATCCATTTGCTATGTGTCAGTTTACCTCCAGTTAAATGAGCTTTGGCCCTAAAAATGTAGGCACCTTGCAGAATTGGTTAGAGCTGTTACCGACTGTATTTTCTCACATGATTCAACACACTTTAAGGTTTTCAAAACACACTCTTTTGTGCCTCAAAATAGCTTAATGAGTTTAGTCAGGGCAGGTAATTTTGTCATTTCATCGAGGATCATAAAAACAAGACCTAGGGGAGTTAAAAGATGTGTCTGAAATCATAGAACCAATAAGTGGAAGAGTTTAATTCTAATCTAAGTCTTTGACTCCACTGTATCACATTTTCCCTTGTTATACCCCTACTTTGTATCTTAGAGTGATTTATAGATTATATGCTAAGAAATACTTTCTAATGCACTCAAAGATCTAAGGGGCAAACATGGAGAGCTGGAAATATAACTTAGTGATTTTTATAAAATGTAATAACTGTAACTAAATTCAATATATTTCCTTTAAAAATAATAATTTTTAGTTCAAAAATAAGATGCTTTCAGTTTAGAATTGGAACTTGCTTGGGATAGAGGTTTCTCTCCTGA